CTTGACCATAGCAATGCCACAGGAACAAGTTTCCAAATTTTTTGGATTGATTTATTGAATTTAACTCCCATCCACCAGTACAGAAACATCTTCCACAGTAGCAGGTGATGCCCACGGCACATCTCACCATTGTAGCATCTTTGACTATACTCTCCAGATCATAGGACATAATCTCAGCACTAGCTTTGCAGAATGGACACTCATTAACAACACTACTGTTGATTCTGTAGTTTTCACCCTTTCTCTGCAAGCCAGCCAACTAAGGAATTGGGGTTTAGGTGGAGCAACATTGCTCCAAATTAGTTCAGGGATGAGATAGATATTGGTTCATAGTTAATTTATGATTTGATTAACAACTAGTTGTTAGGGAAAATCGATGTGATTCTCCACAAGTAAATCAATCAATGGGAATAAAAACTAATGCGGAAAAATTAAATCAAAGGCAACACAAGAATTTTTACGTGGTTCCCTCAATGTGAGGTACGTCCACGGGATCGAAATCCGATTCCACTATCAACCAAATAATTCCAAACGATTACAAACGAGACACTAATGGTCTCACAAAACACCCTTAGGTGAATTCCAAATAATCACAAATAAACAAAAGAGGAAAGACCTCACCAAATAGAAGAACCAAAATCTTCTGAACCAAAGTTGAAGAAGATTTTTTTTTTTTTTTTTTTTTTTTATCCGAGGAATTTTCGGGGTCGGGAAAACCCGATCCCCGTTAGGAGACGGGGATGGGGATAGTAATAGGTTTCCCGTCGGGGATCGGGGCCGGGGACATTCTTACCATCGGGGATCGGGGACGGGGAGGGTGATCCCTAGCCCCGCCCTGGCCCGCCCCGTTGCCATTCCTATCCTCAATGGACAAAATCCTATCTACGGTTTGGAAGGGCCCTTAAAATGTTGCTTTAATAGAGTGTCTTGAAAAATAGCACTATTAGGAATCAACTTTTTTATCTTTAAAAAAGAAAATTTGGTTAAAAAAAAATATTTGAAAATCAATTTCTGCTATCACCAAAATAGTAGTTAAAAAGTCATCTAAAAAAGTTAAAAACAAAACTTGTAGCTACAAAAATTTTAAAATGTCACTAATAAATATGTTTGGGATGTTCTTTTTGACTTTTTATGAAATATGGGTTGGGCTTGAAGTAATGTGGTACAGAAGTGATGTGACTTAAATAAGATGAAGTGACTTAAATAAGATAGTGATTTTTTAGTGTTTTTTTAAGATGCCAAACCTAGCTTAAATTTTAGCAATGCTAGGTATCATGAAAAACCTTTCATGGAAATAATCATGAAAGCTTTGTGACCCTTGCATTACACTTAGAATAAAAACACCACACACTTATCAAGGTAATCCAAGGATCATAACTCTTTCATGATCATTTTCATGAAAAAAATTTCATGATCCCTAACTTTTCTCCTTAAATTTTGAGTAATACTAGAGATTCTAAAAATTCAACCAAATGAAACCCACATGGGTGTGAGACCTACATGAATAGGACCCAAATGAGACCCACATGGGTGTGGGATCCACATAGAACTTATTTTGTGTGGGTCCCACATCCATGTGAGACATTTGGTAGAATTTTTGAAGTCTCTTGCATTTTTGCTAAATTTTTTGTTTCAAAATAATAATAATTCATCACAAATGTCCAATTTCTTTGCTAAAAATATAATAATGACATTTTTTATAACAAAAATATTTAATCAGTAATTTATTCATAAATTTTTATCTCTAAAAACTTAATTTGTTGTAGCGACAATACCAGTATACCATGGAGTATAAAAGCACCGTAAATGCTACTGTATCGGTACTCCTTCCCAGTCCAATTTTTGACAATTACTATTGTAAGGATTCCTTTGTAGTTCATAAAATTAGATTGTCCTCTTATAGTATTAGAATAAAAATGCTTTGAATTCACCTTTATCAACACATAATTTATTTTGAATATATTTGTGTTGTAAAAATTAAATTGATGAAGTGTGAAATTTATGAATTAAATAAACTTAAATCATTTTTTTTTTGGATTAATTTTAAATCCATAAGTCTGAATTTATAATGTTGTTATTAGAATTATCAAATATGACTTTTGACTAAAAATATGGAGTGGGTTGTTTAAATAGTGTGAAGAAAACATACTTTTTTATTTGTCAATTTTTCCTAGAATTATTCCACTGATTCCACTAATTGACAAGTATGCTTTGTTCATATTCCATTCATTCCACTAATTGACAATTATATTCGTTCACACTGTGAACAAATTCACACACAAAAAAATATGTTGTTCTGGTTTTCACTTTTGACAAACATATATACTTATCTCTAAAAACCAATCAATCATAATCACCTTTGTTGTAAAATTGACAAACATATCATCATGACCCACCATTCTCTTTATTTTCGTGGCAATTTCCCAGGGTTGATAAACTATTAATGAATTTTAATAGTTAGACTAAATTTTTATTAAGTCTTATTAAAAATAAATCTTAATAAAATTATCGTTAAAAATAATTGTTTATGACGATTTTTTATATATGTCGTTAAAAACTGACAATTAGTGGCTTTCTTTTGTCACAATTTTTATAAATTGTAGTTAAAACTTACAATTATTGACTTTTTTGTGACAAATTTTTTAAACTGTTACTAAAAGTTGAAAATTAGTGATAGTTTTTTTTTTTTTTACTAGAACTTATAATTAGTGACATTTTTTGTGATAAAATTTTCAAACTATTGCTAAAAATTAATAATTAGTGACTTTTTTTAATAGTGTTTGATGAAAAATACCATTAATTTTTACAAGACTTATTGAACAACAAATTCACCGATTAAGACTTATACGCAATTCCGTTTTATTGTTGGTGGGTTGATTTCATTGTGATGGTGTTTTGTGCGAGGAATACAGAAATGTTAGGCCCTTATAATTTAAAACTTAGGCTCCATTTATTTGGGGTTATAAAGAAGGGATTGAGATTAATAGTAAGGTTTGACCCCACTATCTTTGTATTTGTTTTGAGAGATGAAAAGGAGATTCGTAATTCCCTCTGGATTATGAATTCTCTTGGAGAGGGAATTTGGATGAGCCTCTAGCACTTGGTTCGCCAGACTTTTTATTTTTTATTTTTTACATGTTGGTTATTTTTTATTTTATTTCTTTTGAACATTGATGTTTAATTTTTGTAGTTTTTGTTAAGTAAAAATCATTATTTTATTTGTTTTATTTTTTTTTGAAATTTTTTATTTTTTTTTATTTTTTTACATGTTGGGCATTTTGTGTTGGTTGGTCAGTTTTGATGAATGGCTGTTTGTGTTGTTTGTCTGTCTTTGATGAATGTTTGTACTGGTCTGTGTTGTTGTTGTCATGTTGGGTGGTCTCTTTTTTTGTTGGTCTCTCACCAACTCTAGGGGTGCTAACAAATGATAGGATAAGTTAGATGGTGCCAACCTCGTTGAGATGATTCAGCCCATTGTGATGCTTTTGCACCTCCATTTTTTTTATTGATGTAATTCGCTTTGTACTTTGTACTTGTTTATTCCATCAATAAAGTTCTTTTTTTTTTTGCCGATCACAAGGAAAAAAAAAAAAAAAAATTAGGGATTTGTCTTTCTCACCATTTCTTATTTCATTAACTATCCAAAGAAGTAATGATAAATCTCATTTTCTCCATTTTATTTCTTTTCTCATCAAGCCTCTTAAGTAATTATTGAGAAGGGTTTGATATCATTTGTTATGTCAATTGACATACAACAGACTATGTTATTATAAGTGAATTAGAGGAATTTATGTAGGAGCTTCAATCTTTTTTCTTCATAATATATTTGCAACTGAATGTATTTATTGAAAATGATATTTGTTCATACATTTTTAGATTGTATAAACAATATATAGATTCTGATCAGTTTAAAATAAGGGTCCCATATCCAAAAATTATATTGACCCCGTCTGAATCAATTAATTGTATTATTTTTTATGAATCACATAGTGTGTGAACGGGATGGAAATGGATTGGAGAAGTTGTTTGGATATGTGAAACTTATTATATATTTTGTTTTGATAATTAATTTTTTTAGAATTTCTTGTGTATATTATTTATAAAAAAAAAATTAAATTAAGTCAATTCAATAATTGTTACATATTTATTTTTATTCCGTTTGTCTTAAAAAAATAAATGGCTTATTCAAAACGACGCACTTACTTTTTTTAAAACTAATAATTGTTACATATTTATTTTTATTCAATTTGTCTTAAAAAAATAAATAACTTATTCAAAACGACGCACTTATTTTTTTAAAACTTTAAAAAAATAATTAATTTAAAATTTTAAAACGGCGTTCATAATGGGTCCCATGAATGGGGACAGTGCTTTTCCAGTCCAGAGTAACAACTAAAAGAATATAAGTAACTCTAAACAATATATAAATATAAAAAAATAATACATATAACAAATAGAATTGATTAATATATGATAAAACTCAAGTTAAAAATTATTTTTAAAATTTTATAATAATATAAATAATTTAAAAAGTACGAAATATTGAAATTTTGAAGGTGCAAAAAAATTTAAGGATACGACCACACTCACTCACACCACCTTAAATCCATCCTTGGGTTGGAGTCCTCTTCCATTGTTGGCCCTATTTTTCGACTACCCTACCTCTCGTCTCTATCGTAGTGGTGTGTATAGTACTGGGTTAAGGGAGAGAGAACCAAATTGAAGGCAAAATTTAGGGGAGACCTACGACACAGGCCTTTTGGAGGAAACTTTAAAACACTTTTCTTTCATCAAATTAATACGAAAGAGCCAAGCTACCTACAATGCTGGGTGGACTCAGGGGAGGTAAATGTAATTTACCCTTATTATTATTATTATTTTATTTTTATTTTATTTTTTTGGTGAAAACAACATTTTGTGCATTATGCGAATAGAAGTAAATAAGTGTGAATCACAATTGAATCGAAAGATTCACTTAATTTAAGTTTGAACATCACGAAACAAATCAGTTTGGTTGAAACTCGTATTGGAATGTATTATGAGTAGTAAGATTCTAACAACCATGTTTACAAGAATGAATCCATAAGTCATATATTAATATACTTCAAAATATTTGTTTCAAACTACAAAATCGTAATATAAATTAATTATGGCACCAAATTTTAAACAGAACGCTGAATTCAAAAGAGAGGGGTCATGCACCTTGTATGATTGACTTTTTGCTGCTCTGAGACAAACAGAACAAAATTTAGCGCTATCCACCACAACACAACTCTCATCAAGCTTTAGTTCACTAAAATGGGTGGTTTCCGTGGCTGGTCCAATAACTTGACCATCTGTGAACTTTTCTGCACTGACATTGTCTGATCCTTCTGCAACTTAAAAAACAAAAGAAAACTGCAAGTTATCCATTCAGTTATCATCACACTGTATCCAACACAAGAAATATATAATTGAACAGATATCAAATGATTAGCAGATAAATGATAACTAGCAACAAAACAGGGGGAAAAAACTTTAAAATAAGCTGCAATTATAGAAAAGGATTTTAAATAAATAGGCCATGTGATGAAAATTATAGATCATCGAACTATGATTACTAGCATAGTAGCATGTCCGCTCACTAAAAGAAAATTACTCCCTATCTACGTTACACAGACTCTTCAAAATAAATCAAATACCTATGTCGGACACCCGACACTGGGACAATGATATAGGATATGTATCAGATACTTTTCAGCAAACACTTCTAATATAATTGTATTTAATACTACTATTATATGTACATATTATTGTAGAATTGCTATTAATGTCTTTTTAACAATACATATAGCACAATTTTATCTCACATACTTAATTAAAAATATAAAAGTTTAACATTATTTTGCGGAGTCCACATATCCTTAAATATATGATTTGATGAGCCGGACCTCTAGAAACATACCCGCACCCGACACCCATACCTGGGTCCATGTAACATAGCCCCCTATAGATTCTACCCAATTTTTCCCTCTCAACATTTTTATAAGGTTGTGGCCGTTTTTGTGAGAATTTGACCCTTGTTCTTCTTTTTTTCTCTATTGTTATTCTTTTCTATATTTTTTTATCTTCTCTTTTGTATCAATTCTCCACATATTTGGCCTTTTGGGATCAATTAAATAGTTGAACGGATTTCTTAATAGTCGTTCTGCATCAATACCTCAATCAGCTTCTTCATCAACAGAAAGTTTCGCTCTGTTACCTGCTCTCGTAGTCACTTGCATTCATGGTAGGTTGCATCTTAGGTTTTGTGCCCTATGTTTTAAAAGCATAAAAATCATTTTTGTTAGGGTTGATCTAAGGTCATTTTCTATATCAGTGGCTGGTGATCGATTGCCTCCTGAGGTGATCAATTGCCATAGCAGAGGAGGAGATTGATCCCTTGCATTGATCACCCTTCCTCATTTTTTAGCCTACTTTTGTATCATTACACGATCTATCACCCTTCTTTGTTTGCCGTCTATTTGAGCTTCAAGAAGCTTGCGATTGATTGGGGGAATGTGCGGATCAATCCCTCGAACGGGATTTTGTGTATTCCCATCAGATTAAAATTTAGGTTGATTCCTTGCTATATAAGCATCCATCTAATATTTTAGGGTAACCAAAATCATTATTTTATGCAGCCCTTTTTGCTAAGAGCTTGAAAAAATTTAGGGACTAAAATTTTCATCATATGTGAGTGAGTGATCAAAAACAAAAACCTAAAAAAATCCTGCATTGCATTGTCCTATCACTCCTAGCCATTGGGTTAACAAAGTCATCGGTGTATGAAGATTGAGGCAGGAAGCTTTGTGCTGCTCAATCAAGTTAAAGAAGGCTATAGTGGATTTTGCTTAGTATTGGGACCATGGTTTTTCCCCTCTGGGAGAGTTTTCCTGGAGGGTCTCCACATTAATTGTTGTGTCTTCCATCTCAAAGTTATTTGGATTTTCCATTGTGATCACAATTTAATTTGAATCATCAAAATTAATTGGGTAATCTTGAGATAATTCTTGAAATTGGCCTATTCAACCCCCTCTAGTCACAATTATCTTGGGCTCCAATATTTTTTTAAAAAGTAATTAAAATACATAAGAAAAGACCGAAATGACAATTTACCAGAATCTGCAATGGAAACATATTCTGATTCACAAACTTCATTGGGTAGCTCAAACCCAAGCCAACAAGAATCTGTCACAGATGCAGTCACAAAGGTAGCAGCACCAGCCAGAGTAGAAATCAACAGAAGTAAATAAAATTAAAGAAAGAAGAACATATAACAAATAGGATAACAAAACCTTACCACTTGATATTTCTGAGTAAGCATCAACTGAAGTATGTCCAATACCAGAAACTCTACACTTGCAGGACTCAACTAAAATAACTGAATTTTCTGATTGCAGGACATTTGAATTGTCAGCTGTGGTAAGTCCAGTAGTTTCCCCTTCCTTCATACAAGAGTGATATCCATCTAGTGATACTGGTGTTGACAAATCATCTTGACCATCCCATCTTTCATCATCAGATTTGTTGACTCCACAAAATAATAATGTCAAACTTGAATCTTTCTCTGCAGTATCAACTACTACTGGAATCTCCGTTGGGAATGGTTTCTTTGCTGTGGTATTTTCCATTACACTCATATCTAACTTTTCACTCATACCAATATCATCCTTTTTCTTTGACAATAAATCAATATGTTTCTCATCCACAGGTTCCATACAATATTGATGGGCCAAAGAGTTTTTGTTGCCAAGTCCCTTCTTAGGGTCAATATCAACACCAATTATTGAGCTTTCCTGAGTTGTGAGATTAACATTTTTATTTTGTTGAGGAGATAATTCAGGACCTACCCCTTCCATGAAATCTGGTGAAAATGAAGGCATCACATCATGCACAAATTCTGAACAGAGTTGTTTTATATTGGCACCCATTGTCTGCAGTTGGTTTTCAATATTGGCGCCCACTCTCTGCAATGTCAAAATACACAAACAATTTCTATTTGATAAACATTAGCAGCATCAGGAGCATAAATGATATGAGATATAGTAAACCTTGGAACAGAGTAGCTATTCAACCTGATGCAGGGAGAATAAACAACAGAAAATACAACCACAGCAAAACATGGTTTCACAATTTCCTACCCTAGGCAAAAAGGTAGACTTAGATTGTCAAAGGTACGCAAATCAATTTCAAGGTAGATTAGATAGAAAAAAAAATTGTCATCATTCAGCATGTGTAAATGCTTCCTGTCCAAGTGAGCAATTGATATTAATGTGGCAAACATAGGAGCTCTAGTAGCCAATACAATATGACATATAGACATGTAGCCTAAGAAGCACGTCCACTTCTATGGAGGAACCGTGTCTTGTTGGACATCGACATTCTGTGGACTCTCCTAAAGGGGTGTCCAACACTTCTTCAATGTGTCCGAATTAAAAAATTTCATTCATAATATCAGACTTAAACAGACATTTTGGCAACACTGCTTGAACCATTGGAACATAACCTATGTGATAAATCACTTCATTGTAACAATGTTCTGCATTTATAAATACTCATATCAATTTAAGGGTAGAACGAATAGAAAATTTGGCTATGTATGACAATCAGGAGTGATTTAAAATTTTTCTATCTAGTTTTTTTTATTTATTTATTTTTTAGCTATTCAGACTATTGTTCCAAAATAATATTTGGAATCTAAAATATGGCCCACATGTGAAGCAAAAATTGGGTTAGACTTGAAAGAGTCCAACCAGAATGTTCAAAATTTTGAACAAGTTTAACAAGAACATGGTTCGATTTGTAGGAAAAGAATCAGTCACAACTTTAAGGATTAGATAAATGTCCACATTAAGACTACCCATTGAGGATCTCATCTTAGTTCAAAAAAATAAATAATAAACAAGAAGAAGCATCTAAAAGAAAAACAATGTACATTGATTAGAAGAGGGAAAAAGAAGGGGAAGGTAAATGCAAAACCTCATGCACAACACCATCCGCCTCCAAGCATAGAATTTCAAACTTCTGGCGTATCTCTTCAACCCAGTCCATAACTTTATAGTTAAATTTTAACTTAATGCAACACCACTGTCCGAGGGAAGGACAGAACAAATGAATGCCACTTTCGGTGCTTAACAGCCCATTTTCGGGACTCCGAACTGCGTGTTTTGGCCCAAATCAGAGCAATAGGAGATGGTTAAGCGGTCCCGAACCGAGGCACACGGCCTGACGGCTCCGAAAACCGGGAACCGGACTCCGAAATGGGCAAAATGGCCTACGGCCACCAAATGTAGCCTACGGACGTTGAGAGATGGTCTACGGGACCTCTCTCTCCCCTCAGGAAAAGAAACAGAGAAAACCGAGTCTGGTTCGCAAACCAAGACAAGGCACAGAAGAGGGTTTGGAAGTCCGGAGACAGGGTTCACGGCCGCGACTCTGAAACTTCTGAACAAGCACATTATGCAACATCACCAAGCGCTCAATCGGTGACGTCTGAGTCTTAAGGTCGGTCAAAAATGGGGTGTCTACAATACCATATTGAGCCAAAGTATGTTGAGCCTTCCTCAGAACCATGCTATGGGTTACTTCGATCCTAGCTCAGTATGGTTAGCATGATCTCAACAGCCTGGTTGGAATATGTCGAACCGAGGTACACGTAGTGAAAGGAAGAACCGAGCTAGGTGGAGCTCGGTCTAGTCTGCGGCTTTAGCATGGCCATGTTATCCTGGTCGTATTGACATCCGACCTAGGTAAAACCATCTCACTTGGTTTAAGCAGTGAGGGGGGTGTTGAAAGATAAGCATTATCTTTCAGGAATGTGATTCCTAAGAGGACTCTACATGGAGGAGTAGTAGTCCTACTAGGATTGTGCCACACGGAACCTATAAAAGCTCATAACATCACCTACGGAGAGGTAACACAACATTGATTCTCGAATACACAGAGCTTTTGTCTATTTGTCTATTTTGCTGACTTAGGCATCGGAGAGGTATCCGGCACACACCCGCCGGCTAGCTCACGTTTGTGTTTTTAGGGAGTAAAGCAACGTCGTACGGAGGAGTGCAGATTTGATCAACAGGATTATATGAGAAGGTTTATTTCTTTCCCATACAATATATAAGGGCAAAATAATCCAGGTAAACATATTAAATTAGAAAAATGAACCTTATGGAATAAAAAGAAAAGTTTATGGGACTAATCAGGTTATAATATTCCTTTGTGAACCTAATGGGTTATAACAACTCTAAAATGGATTTATCAATAAAAATCCTAATTAAAAATGTTATAAAATAAGGTAATTTTATGATAATTAATTAGGGTTTAGTTTAATTTATATTTTAATTATGTGTGTGTGTGTGTGTGTGTGTGTGTGTGTTTATGTTTATTTTAAAATTTTATTAAATAAAAAATCGAGTTAAAAATTAAAAAATAGATTAAAGTAGTTTCATGATTTAATTTTATGGTAATAAATTAAGGTGTTTAAATTAATTTATGATTTAATTTGTTATATATATAACATGTATGTTTAATTTAAAATATTATAATATAAGAAATTGAGTTGTAAATTAGATTAAGGTAATTTTATAATAATAAATTAGGGTGTTTAGGTTAATTTATAATTTAATTTGTTAAATATATGATTAAGATAAGAAATTATATGTATTAGAGAAGGAAGAAAGAAAATATGGCATAAGGGTATTTAAATAATTTTCTCACTGTTATTAACAAAGTTGGTTTGCACTTTAGTACAAAACCATAAAGGGATTCTCCTATGAATATGAACAATATCATACAACAAACAACAAACAAAAAGAAAAAAAAATTAATAATCATTACAAATAAATATTATATAAGGTTTTTGTATTTAAAAGATGCTTGGATATAATTTTCAATCATTTTGGTGTAATCTCGCGTTATTTAAAAAAATTGGATTCAAAACTCCTTCCAGGTTTACCAAACAAACGGAGCCCTTTTTTTTTGGTGAAAAAACAAACGGAACCTTAATTTCTTTGAAGTGTTTGAAAAGATAACTAAAAACAAATAGTTTCATATGTTCTGTTTTTTTAATTTATTTATATAAATAGATGCAATATATAATTTTTTTAATCAACAAAAAAACCTTTATTGATGAAATAACCATATAAAGTATAAGAGTATTACATCAATAGTGGGGGATAGGAATGGCAACGGGCCGGGGCGGGGCCGGGAACCACCCTCCCCGTCCCCGATCCTCGAAGATTACAAAATTCTCGCCCCCGCCCCCGATCCCCGACGGGGGAGCCCATCACCCTCCCGTCCCCGTCCCCTAACGGGGATCGGGTTTCCCCGACCCTGAAATATCCCCAGGCTTTTTTTTTTCGAATTTTGTTCAACAAAACACTGACTAATCAATATAATATCACAAATCAACAAACCAGATCTGAGTACAGATCAATTTTGTGAACAATACAGATCAATTTTGAACAATACAGATAATTAAACAAATTAAAAAAAATTAAAAAAATTATACAGATCAATTTTCAACAACAACAACATCAGATCAGAGAGAGAGAGAGAGGACAGATCTAACAGATCGACGGTGTTGGCGAGATCGACGGTGACGGTGGTTGTGGCGGGGCCAGCGGTGGTGGCGGTGATGTCCCCGTGACTGTGAGAGAGCTGAGAGAGAGAGAGAGAGAAGAACGAGAGAGTTGAGAGAGAATGAGAGGTGAGAACGAGAGAGTGAAGACAGTGAGAGAGTCGAGAGAGAAGATACGAGTGAGAGAGTTGAGGAGGGCGGTGGAGGAGCAGTGCTATCAGATCGGCGGAGGACGGCGGCGAAGGAGATCAGTCTGTGAGGAAGCTGTGACTTTCTTCTCTCTCTCTCTCTCTCTCTCTCACGCGAATGAAGCTGTGTGTTTGTGTGATTGTGTGAGGAAGGGGACGGGGATTATAGTAATATATATAGACAGGGGTATTATAGTAATTTTATTTCGAGGAGAAAACCGGGGACGGGGACGGGCCGGGTCCGGGGCAGTGAAAGCTATCCCCGTCCCTGGCCCGAAACTAATCGGGGATTTAATTTCAAATACCATCCCCGTCCCCACGGGGATATTTTTCGGAGAAAAACCATTGTGATCGGGGTCGAGGGGTCGGGTACCCGTCGGGCCGGTTTCAAATTGCCATCCCTAGTGGGGAAGGGGAGAATGCACAAATCATCATATCATAGCTCAACAATCCCAATTAGGTTGGCATTAAATAACGTGCCCAATCATATGATAGCATCCAACCCCAGTTGGCGAGGAACCAACCAAGCATAACACAAAAGCAACACACCCCAGCAGCAGCAACCAACTCCACCACAGAACAGGGCAAGCAAGTTCACCACAGGTAGCTGTGCCTAATCTGACTAAGATTCTCCACAATATCATGCATTGAATAAGAAATCTCCTTCAGGTTAGAGTTAGCCCAAAGATTGGCCCTCGCTTAAACACACAATTAGTTCTCAACCTTGACCATAGCAATGCCACAGGAACAAGTTTCCAAAATTTTTGGATTGATTTATTGAATTTAACTCCCATCCACCAGTACAGAAACATCTTCCACAGTAGCAGGTGATGCCCACCGCACATCTCACCATTGTAGCATCTCTGACTATACTCTCCAGATCATAGGATATAACACAAAGATATGGTTCACATTCTCAGCACTAGCTTTGCAGAATGGACACTCATTAACAACACTACTGTTGATTCTGTAGTTTTCACCCTTTCTCTACAAGCCAGCCAACTAAGGAATTGGGCTTTAGGTGGAGCAACATTGCTCCAAATTAGTTCAGGGATGAGATAGATATTGGTTCATAGTTAATTTACGATTTGATTAACAACTAATACTGCCGAATCGGGGTAGGTAGTCAATATGACTATTATGAAAGAAAAAAAAAATTAAATATAAATAAAATTAAAAATTAGAAATTAGAAATTTAACAACAAAATCAAGTTCAAATCACAAAATAATGATTAAGATTTTATAACACAAATTGACTACAAATTGGCTTGTAACATTTTCAAAGTCGCAAAACCTTCTCTCGTTATGCTGCCAAGTGTCCATTTTTCTGTTTAAAAAAGAAAAAAAAAAAGAAAAAAAGAAAAATTAGATGAATAGGAAGAGTGTGATTCAGACATTTGATTTTGGCTTTAATGAAGAAGACTTTTACCACTTGAGTGGCACGCAATATGTAATAAATATTTTATTTTATTTTATTTTTATTTATTTAAATTGCACGCACATTATGTGAGACAACTGCTAGTCTCTCTCTCTCTCTCTATATATATATATATATATGTATTGTATTCGATAATTAAATAGTGTGGGAGATAGAGAAGAAATAAGAGAGAATTACAGAGCGAGTTTGACAAAGAAAAGAGAAGCTTTTCTTCTAGGTGTTTTTTTTTTTTTTTGTATTTTGTTTTAGAAAAATTTAGCGAGTAAAATAAATTTGTGTTTGAGTTTAGAAAACCAAAAACTCCTCTCTCTAAGTGTGTTTTAGACTATTAGAGCATCTCTAAGGGAGTGGGCAAAAGAGCATCCTGAGACATTTTTACTAATGCAATTGGTTCTTTCCCTTCTCCAAGGGCCTATGCGTAAAATGTCCATTTTGATTTTGGCTCTCCACAACTAGCTAGCCTTTATTGAGAGGGAAAAAAGTTTCCCATTGAAATTGCTTCTTCCATCTGATCAAATACTCTTCTTTTGGTTGGTTTCGTGTTTGTGTATTGCATCCAATTGATTTAGTTTTGTGTTTCGATATTACCATTTGAAAATATTTTTTTTAAAAATAATTTAATATATTTTTTTAAATGAAATAATTTAATTACATATTTAAAAAATATATATTTACAAATACCACGTCAACATATGCAGCATGTCATAAAAAAATTATTTGTTCATTTATCCGTGTTTATAATATTTTTCTTTCAAAAATTAGTTAAGTTAGTTTGATTGATTAACTAAAATAAAGAGTATAGTTAAAGTAAACACTAACTTATTAGTTATGCAAAATAAAAATGATACCTTCATGTATACTTTTACAAGACATTTTGCCTCTTACCCTTAGAATTGCTCTCATAAGT